AGAAAGAAAGAAAGAAAGAAAGAAAGAAAGAAAGAAAGAAAGAAAGAAAGAAAGAAAGAAAGAAAGAAAGAAAGAGGAAACCATCTCTCAGTGGGGGCACTTCTTTACTTTGGGTTCTGCCTGGAACTGAAGTACAAGATGAGAGGGCAGGAGATATGGGTCAGCTGGTAAAGCTCCTGCTGCACAAATATGAAGACCTGAGTTCAGATCTCCAGAACCCTTATAAAAATCTGGCTGTAATCCCATCCCAGGAGAAGTAGAGACAAGAGGTTCCCTGGAGCTCACTCTCCAGCCAGTCTAACTGAATCAGTAGGCTCTAGGTTCAGTGAGAGACTCTAACTCAAAAAATAAGGTGAAAGCCATGCAATGGGGGATGCACACCTTTAATCCCAGCACTCAGCATGCCAAGGCTACACAGAGAAACCCTATCTCAAAAAAAAAAAAAAAAGAAAGAAAGAAAGCAATTGAGGAAAACATCCAACACTCAATATCTGGCCTCTACATATATGTGCATTAGCAACCACGTGTACACACACAAAGTAGATTGGTTAAGGACCTGAAAACTTGATCAGCTAACTGACATTTACAGAAAACTGACTGCACTCCCAAATCAGCATTAGTAAATAAACCCGTAACAATTACCATGATGGACCTTGTTTGGGGCCTTACAAGTCTCAAAAAATCACAAAGACTGAAGTAATATCAAGTGTGTTCTATCATCATGATATCTAATACTGTATATACTAATCAAAAATTATTTAGGAGGTGAATGGGATCAAAACATATTGTATAAAATTCTCAATTTATAAAAATTGTTTTTTAAAATTAATTTTAAAAATATATTCTTTATATAAATGAAATCAAATTAGAAACCAAATCCTAGCACTAGTTCAAGGCTAGTCTGGTCTACATAGTGAGTTCCAGGATAGTCAGAGCTACATAGAGCCTGTCTCAAACAAACCAGCAACATCAAAAAGAATCCAAAACCAGACTGAGAGCTGAAACTAGGCGTGGCAGCTCAAGACTGTAATTCTAGCACTTAGGAGGCTGAGGCAGAGCATCAGCAGTGCCAAGGTCTCCTCTGGGCCCTTACAAGGATGCTGCTCATCTACACAGCATAAGTTATCTGCTCAGTACTGTCCAGCCTCCTCCAGCCTCCCACAGCTCCTGAAGAAGGCTCAGCCTCACCTGTGGCCTACTGAAACCTTCACTTGGCCAAATAACTTTTCCTGGGGGCTTATTCTACTGCTAAGGAAACAGATTTATTCCCCTACCCCTGGATGTTGACATCTTCTACTAGATAAATATTTGCTACTTTTGAAAAATGTATCATGAAAACAGATTCAGACTGAAGACTGTTGATTTTTATTTATAAAAGTACAGCATTTACTATGGGAATGCAATGATTAGAGATATAGCTTGTAACAAAGCTTAACAGGTGGCAGATTATACTTGGAGCCACGTGCTCCTGGTCTATAGTCTGCTCTTTGATTTTTGTTGTCGTGTCTTTTGAGGTGCGAGGGATGGAACCCAGGGTTTCTCAAATGCTAAGTAAGTGCTCTACCACTGAGCTCCCCCCAGGTGCCCTTCGTAGTTATTTTAGAGCATGCCTGTAAATTTAAAATCAAAGGAAGAGGGGAGGTCCAGTGAGGATGTTTCCATGAGCTAGACTTAGCGTCACACCTGGCGGAGCCTGAAGTCCCCGCTGCCGTCAGGACAGTCAGGACAGCACGTGCTCCAGGACCCCTTGTCTGATCAACTGCTCACACTTCCACCGAGGCAAAAAGTGCTGCCAGCAAAAGGGAGTGAGAGAAATGATTAGGAAAATTATATTTCACATCAGTAAAAAGCAACAGTTATTATATACCTTATCAACTTCTACAGCTAAGTAAATAAAAGCTAAACTCAACTAATTTCCTTTTTTTTTTTTTTTTTTGGTTTTTTGAGACAGGGTTTCTCTGCATAGCTTTGTGCCTTTCCTGGATCTCACTCTGTAGCCCAGGCAGTCCTCAAACTCACAGAGATCCGCCTGCCTCTGCCTCCCGAGTGCTGGGATTAAAGGCGTGCGCCACCACCACCTGGCCTAATTTGCTATTATAACCAAGTAAAACTGATACTACTAAGAGATGAACACTACTAATAAAGTTATTATTTTTATAAAAGTCATTGCATAATTCTTAAGATTTATTCATTTTTATTTTATGTGTATGAGTGTTTTGCCTACATGTATCTATGTGTACCACATGTATGCCTGTTGCCCGTGGAGGCCAGAAGAGGGCACTAGATCTCCTTGGACTAGGGTCCTCCGCAAGAGCAGAAAGTGTACTTAACCACCAAGTCATCTTTCCAGCTCCTTATTCACCAACTTTTTAAAAATTATTAAGTGTTAAACACACACAGTGATACATCTGACAGTTGCTTTAACACCATATTCATAAGTATTAAAGAATACATGTTAAGCATTTCTCCACTAGTGTCTGAACTATGTGGATGACCTACACAGATACAGTCAGTTTTAGGTGTAGACAGATATATTTTTAAGTAACTAATTTAGTATGCATGCATGCATGCATGCATGCGTGGGTGCGTGCGTGTGCATGTGCAGATACAGATATGCATAGGCCATAGCATGTATGTGAAGGTCAGAAGACAACATCTCAGGATGTCTCTTGCCATCTTATGGGATCCAGGGATTGAACTCAGGTCATTGGGCCTGTGTGCTAGTACTTTTATTTACTATGTCATCTTGCTGGCCCATGATCAGGTATTTTAGAAATTCCTTAACATTAAACAGTAGAAAATAGGTTTCAAACACAGATAATGTAAGTTGTTGAGGCTGTTCACATGTCCACACAAGAGTAAATGAACAGGCTCAGGCCTCATTGGCTCAGCACACAGTGGGCAGATCAGCAACAGAGCTCCAGAAAACCTCAACAAATTGAAAGCACTTCCACTCATCTTGCTCTGAGGACAGCTTTGCTCCTGGCAACTGCAGGTTCCCATGGCACCTTCAGAACACAGATTTTTTTAAAGCACCTTAATTCACCATCTAGTTTTGGTGCAGTATGTTTAAGGAGACACATGGGAGAGAACAGTTGGTTTAACAAAGATTTTAGGCTATCTTTGAAATCAGTTCTACAAACCTACTTTTGGGAAATGACAGCTGCACACTAATAAAGCAGATCAGTCACCCTCTTGGGCCAGAGCACAAGATGACTAGAAGTATTCTGTTCCAGGATGTAAACAGTCCACATCATGATTTAAGGACAAGGCACTAACTGGTTAACACCCACATGGCAGGACAGGCAAAGAAGAAAGAATGGCCCTTATCTTCCTTTACTGTGACTTCAGAAAACGGGGAGAGGATAAAAATGAACTGGGTTAATATGAAGTCACAGCTCTTCAATGACAATCTTATCCTATTAAGCTGTTCTGTTTACATATTAAGTACTTAAAAGTTCTTGATCTACACCATGATTTCTTGCTGTAAAGAACAAGGTTAAAATGAGGTATAAGCTGAAAATGGTTGCTTAAGAATTTTCATAAATTCACTGGGTGGTGGTGGCACACGCCTTTAATCCTGCTGCAGGCCTCAGGAATATATCATAAGAACTCAGCTGGTTATGGCAAAGTCACTACCTGGAGGGATCAGGGAATTCCTCCAGAGGAAGCCAAATTCCAAGGAGTTTTTGGTGTTATTTGGCTTGTTATAAATCAGCTGTATTCTGTTATGAAAATCATGTGTGCCTTCATAGTTTTCCCAATTGACTTTTCCCTTAGAAGGGCTAACAGTGTGGACTGATCACTCTCTGGACATACACATTCCAGGAATTTGGAGAACAGCCTCAGGAAAGGCTTTCTCTGGAATCAGATTATCTCCCTTAGCCACTTTCCAGGACTAATAGGAGACATTGCCTAGGTGGGCGCCCAACTTTCAATGACTAACAGTGATAGCAGCCCACATGCAAGTCTCCTGACTTAAGGTAAATTCCACAAGGAGACACTGCCTAGGTGAGGTGGACGTTAAGTAAAAAATAGCTTTACACAATTTAGCTCGGACCCTTCCTTTTTATACTGGGACTTCCAGGGCACGTAGAGGATGGAGAAGAGAAAAGAGAATGGAAGAACTAGATGGGTAAGAACTTGAGAGGAACAAACTGAGTTGGGGAAGAACTAGATTGAAGGGCTAGAAGAGAGTACCAGAGGAACGAGATGGAAGATGAGGAAGAGTCAGATGGGGAAGTACTAGCTGGGTAAGAACAAGGTGAAAAGGACCTAGATGAGGCAGAATTAAGATGAGAGAATTAAGATATAAGTTAAGAGGGAACAGTAGATAAACAGAGAAATCAGGCAAGAAAGGAGCTAGGCACGAGAACAGAACTGAAGCTGTATATATGTGGATGTTATGCCAGAGGAATTAAAGCAAGTGGACTATAGAGCTCAGTGTGCTGAGATTCTATTTCCTGAAAATAGTCCTCTCCGTTAGTAGTTCTCTCTCCTGAGCCCCTGAGATGTATAATATTAAGGCTGGTCCCTCTAATATTATATAAGATAATCCCAGTACTTGGGAGGCAGAAGCAGGCGGATCTCTGTGAGTTTAAGGCCAGCCTGGTCTACAGAGCGAGTTCCAGGATAGGCTCCAAAAGCTACACAGAGAAACCTTGTCTTGAAAAACCAAAAAAAAAAAAATTCCATAAAGTCAGGGACAAGCTCAAACCAACATTCTTTTGCTTCTTACTCTAGTACTATAGATATGAACCTATCTATAGCTTCATGCACGCTGGACAGCTGGACAAGTGCCACCATTGAGGCACAACTCCAACCCTCTTTTTATTTTTTGAGATAATATCTCACTAAACTGCCAGGTATGGCTTGGAATTTCCTTTGTAGCCCAGGTTGGTTTTGAACTTGCTATTGTGACCAACCTGGTCTGGAACTCTGGAATTAAAGACAAACAACACTGTATGTGGTTGGTCTTCAACTTTTGGTCCTCCTCAGGTGGGATTACCTCCTGAGTAAATGGGATTACCAACTCTTAAATTCAGTATTTTAATAGTCCCCAAATAATCTGTCAACTAATTAGAATAAGGCCCATCATAATAATTACTCAGGAAAATGTTTAGTATTAAATATAATCAGCAGCCTAGTAAATAAATACATTTTTTCTTGCCATATGAAACATTTGCTTCAAGTCTTAGTATTTAGAAAAAGTCCAGAAAGGTCTGAGATACAGAGGAACATTACAAGGAGATATTCTTTTTGCTACTGAATCCAGCATTTCCTTACACACATTCTTAACAAAGTCTAAAGCATATAACAACAGAAAATACCTGACTATTTTTTTTAAGCAGGACTGAAGTGCCATCATCAACTTCAAATTCTCCATAGTCTTTCAAACACCGTACCTGAAAGAACAAATTGAGACTTTGTTTTTTCTTTGAGACAGGGTCTTTAGCTGTGTTGACTAGTTGAGTCTTAGGCTCAAGTGAGCCTACTGTGTTGGCCTCCTGACTAGCTGAGAACGTAGCTATGCCCCAGCATACCTGGTTTATGTTATTATGTGTAGTAATCAAAAGGAAAACAGGTGCTGCATGAATATCTATGTAATATCTAGATCCACTCCAGCCTCACTTTGTAGTAGTAGTATGAGAACAGGACACAGGTAAGTTTGCCAGTTCCTGCTTTTGGAAGAGATTCTTCCAATCTTCTTCAATATGCAGACTCATTCCAGGGAATTCTTAGCAGCAGAAAATGAAAGCTGTGCGACAATAGAAGCAAAAACGTTGTACTGAATTATCTTTTTTTTTTTTTTTTTTCGAGACAGGGTTTCTCTGCGTAGCTTTGCGCCTTTCCTGGAGCTCACTTGGTAGACCAGGTTGGCCTCGAACTCACAGAGATCCACCTGGCTCTGCCTCCCGAGTGCTGGGATTAAAGGCGTGCGCCACCACTGCTCGGCCTGAATTATCTTTTAAAATTGTAATATTTTGCCAGGCGGCAGTGGTGCGCACCTTTAATCCCAGCACTTGGGAGGCAGAGCCAAGTGGATCTCTGTGAGTTCAAGGCTAGCCTGGTCTACAGAATGAGATCCGGGATAGGCACTAAAACTACACAGAGAAACTCTGTCTTAAAAAGCCAAAAAAAATGTAATATTTTAATAAGTAGATTGGGAAATAAAAGGCATGTTTCTACAACTCTTAATTGATAAAATGACGAAGGCATGAGTTAATGTGGTTGGAAACAAAACTCAAAATCATCTTAAAGGTCTAGAAATCTAGGTAGAATCAAAATTAATGAAAATTGACTGAAATTAATATTAACTTCCAAATTTGGAAGT